ACATTGTCTATTTTTAAAATAATTTTTAAATTTATTAATAACAAGGAAGCAAATGCGGAAGCAGTTTTGAAATAATCCATAATAATAACGGTGTTTAAATACCATCCCAGAATTTGGTGTCACAAGTGCACGAGCCTCTAAAATAAATACAAATAAAGGTGTGAATAAAATAAAGCTGTCACAAGTGCAGAACTGCGGACGCCATGCAGTTATACCTCACGTCTCCTCTGATAGCTGAAATCCGAGCAAGTCTATGTTACGCCGCTGGGACCAACTCCCAAATCTGCACAAGAAGTGCAGAGTGTAGTATCAGTACAACCGACCCCATGTACTGGTAAGTGCTGAGCCTAACCTCGACAAAGTAGTGACGAGGCTAAGGCGGTTCACTTACATTAACCTGTACGCAATATTAGTAACAATAACAATAATAGGAATAAATCAGGTAAATAATTTATAATAATTGAAGGCAACTCACCAGTCATAACCAATTATCATTTCCATTATTTATGTTGCAGCTTGCAACCCGCTCTCACAATATATCCACATTCAGTTCTGTTGCGGCGTGCAACCCGCTCCTTCAACATATTCATTTTAATCAAGTCTGTNACGATCCTCCAATATATTCATTATAATCAATCATTTTGCGGCGTGCAACCCGTTCCTCCAACATTTTAATTTACTAATTCTTATAGAAGAAATTTTTCCAATAAATATAACAATTAATATAAAATTACAAGACAACAAGCATACAATAATTATGGTTTAATTATGAAGCAAACAATGACAAATAGCAAATTATTATGAAAATCAGGGAGCAAATAGGCAGTTTAATATTTATTATGCTAAATGTCAAATAACAATTAAGGCACATAATTCAAATAGCATGTAACAATTAATGCAGGAATTCAAGAATTTATATTTGCAAAGAATAAGAGAGAAACAATTATTATAATAATTAATTTATGATTAAAAATAATTTATGATTTTTCAAGTAAGCAGGCAAACAATTAATTTGACGACGTATAGACACTCGTCATCTCGCCTATACGTCGTTTACATGCAATTCACATAACAAATAATTTAAGGGTTCTATTCCCTCAAGTCAAGGTTAACCCCGACACTAACCTCGCTTTGCAAATTCCAATCAATTATTTAATCACAACTTTTCCTTTTAAATTTGCCTCCGAAAGCTTCAAATCTATTCACAAATAATTCAATATATTCAATACTAATCACAAAAATTAATTCCATATGAATTTATAAATTTTCCGGATAAATATCCAAAATTTATTAAAATATTCGACAGTGGGACCCACGTCTCAAATCCCGAAAAAACTCACTAAATCCGAACACCTATTCCGATACGAGTTCAACCATACTAAATTTGTCCAATTCCGATATCAAATGGACCTTCAAATCTTAATTTTTTATTTTTGGAAGATTTTATAAAAATCTGATTTTTTTTCTTCCATAGATTTACGGATTTATGATATAAATGAGTATGAAATCATGCAATATAATCAATATAGGATAAGGAACACTTACCCCAATATTTTCCCGTAAAAATCGTCCAAAAATCGCCTTACCCGAGCTCAAAAATGGGAAAGAATTGAAAATGGGTCGAAACCCCATTTTCAGAACTTAAGTTCTATTTCTGGGATTTTTACCCTTCGCGAACGCGGTCAGTGCCTCGCATTCGCGAAGCACAATTATGTGCTGTCAAATTTTACTCTTCGCGAACGCGAGGGCTATCTCGCGAACGCGATGCATGCGAGATGACCTTCGCGAACGCGAAGGCTAATTTTCCTGGCCAGTCTCTTTCCCTTCGCGAATGCGAGGCTTCTATTGCGAAGGCGAAGCTTTGAACCTCAAGCCTTTGCGAACACGGTCACTATGTCGCGAACGCGAAGCACAAAACGTGCCAGCCCAATTTGCTCTTCGCGTTCGCGAGAGTACTTTCGCAAACGCGAAGAACACACCCGAATCCTAAAGTCTGCAGAAAACCAGATTTTCTAAGTCCGAAATCATCCCGTAGCCTATCCGAAACTCACCCGAGCCCTCAGGGCTCCAAACCAAACATGCATACAAGTTCTAAAACATCATACGAACTTGCTCGCGCAATCGGATTGCCAAAATAACACCTAGAACTACGAATCGGACACCAAATCAAAGGAAGTTTTCAAGAAAATTTTAAAACTTATATTTTTACAACCGGCCGCCCGAATCACGTCAAATTAACTCCGATTCTCACCAAATTCGGCAGACAAGTCATAAATATTATAGTGGACCTATACAGGGCTCCGAAACTAAAATACGGATCCGAGGTCAATAAATCCAACATCAGTAATTTCTTAGAAATCATTAAGCTTTCAAGCTTTTAATTTTTTATCAAAATTCCATAACTCGGGCTAGGGACCTCGGAATTCGATTCCGTGCATACGCCCAAGTCCCAAATCACGATACGGACCTACCAGAATTTTCAAAATACTGATCCGGATCCGTTTACTCAAAATGTTGACCAAAGTCAACTTAGTTGAGTTTTAAAGCTCTATTTCCCATTTTAATCCATTTTTCACATAAAAACTTTCCGAAAAAATGTGCGGACTGCGCACACAAGTCGAGGAATGATAAATGGTGCTTTTCGAGGTTTTAGAACACAGAATTACTTATTAAATTTAAAGATGATATTTTGGGTCATCACAGAATCCCTTGCATTTTAGCATGGTATGAGAGTGAGACTCATCCCAATTATTGTTACCGATGTTGGGCCTTTATTTATGTTGTCCACGCTCCAGTTTGCAAGCCTGAGGCGTGAAGAAAGGGAAGGGGGGGGTTGAGTTATCCCACATCGGTGAGATTTGAGGTCCTTGGTCTGCTTATATGGTGTTTGGCAATTCTCATCCCATAAGCTAATTTTTGGTATTGATTTAGGCCCAATGTGCATTTATTATTGAGTTTAATGTATCAATGACTCGGTCAGTCCTCCTCCTTTATTAACTTCCTAAAATAAAATTGTTTCTAATACTTATCTTTCAGGAAAATATTTGTTTTTTTAAAAATTTCTCTATCGTGTAATGCATTTTTAGCATTAATGATTTTTTTCTGGCCATGTGCAATTACTGCGTGTTCCCATTACTTTCGTGCTCTGGAACCACGTCCTACATTCAAAAGTCTCCTTTTATAATAATGTAATCTCAGATGTGATTTAATATATAACATTATCTTTTTAGATAATATATAAAAAAAAGGACTTCCACTGCACTCAAAGGCATGAGCCATTTTCCTTGACAATACATTTTAGGCGGCTACCCGTACGTCTGTTTGGTTGGGAGCAATATGTTCATTTAAATTAGAATTTTAAAATAGTTCTTGAACTTAGTTGCCATAATTTGTACTTCGTATATACATACATTAGTTATAGTGTTTTATTCTTTTTGCCAGGCTAATTTTATTATTCGCATTCATATTTAAATTTTATTTTTTTATTTTTTTTTATTAGCTGCTAAATATTGAAAGCAATGCTAGTAGCAAACACACACGATCACAGACATGTATAAAACATTAATATATGCAACTGCTTAAGTAAATAATAGGAGCTAATGACTAAACAATCATTAAAACTTAAGTTGATATATTTGTGAAGTTGTGAACTATAATACTATGTGAGCTTGCATTGTAGTTTTAATCTAAGATAAAATAAAATAAGAGTTGTAATAGCTAGTAACGAACCTGAAACTAGGTAACGTATGGTGAATTAATGAGTAAATGCGATTTTCAAAATAAACAAACAAGCAGGATTTAGAATTGTACCAATTTGCTATTATGAAGAGTCTTTTGATGAAAATGTGCATCTATATTATTCTTATCCTTTTCTTTTCTTGCTTTAATTATTCTTTTTCTGTCTTTAACCAAAGGTGGCAAACTAGTAGTAGCAAACTGGGACATGTGAACTGTGATAGTGACGACCAGAAAAAGATTGTGAATATTGGCGAGTTGTTTCCCCTTTTTTGTTTGTCATAAATTTCAGAACTTGACAACGGAAGCTCAAAAAGTACTCGGTTATATATAACACCATGAGACATCCATAAATATACAATTATAGTTAGCTTTGGAATATAGATTTGGTTGAAACTTGAAAAAAATAAGTTTTTGAAGACGAGATAAAATAATTTTTGAAAGTTAAAATTGTGTTTGAACATATATTTTACTTGAAAAAAATTTAAAGTTTTGCGAGTAGAAAATTTTAAAAACTACGCTAGAGCTATTTTGGAATTCGAATATTTTGTTTTCGAAATCTACCGAAAAGTGGTTAAAATCTATAAACAACCAGATATTTGAAAACAAAATTTGACAAAAAACTCTCAAATTCTATGGCCAAAGGGGAGCATAGTATCTTGTATTACTTGGTTGCTTTTTCGCATTATAACTTTGCCCAAATATTCATATTTAGAGCCTTGCGTAAATAATTTTTAAATTATTAATATATATTTCAATTCTTAATACACATTATTTACCATACTATTTAGTTAATTGAATTAGGCTTATATTTAATTAGCTATTTGTTATTGCAGACTGCCTTTACTTGATTGGTGCAAAAAACAAATTTATTAACTTCAGTAAACCTTCTCAAATAATATCAATTCGTGGGAAATTAATAATACTACCTAACAATCAATATAAAAATAAAAGTTAGACATAAATCTAGTTATTTAAGTGAGACTTTTTAACTTGATATTTTTCACCTTCTTATTAATCAAGTTGTTAAGTGTTAACCAATTAACTAATACTTCAACAATAGTTGGTACTTTTTGTTAATCCACTAATTTGGAACCCAATCTTGTCTGGTCATTACAATAATTTTGGTAATGTGCTTTCTTTATTTATTATTAATGAGTACTTTACGTAAGATTAGGTTAACCTAATACCCCTTTACTCTCTAACATTTGGTCTTATCTACGAAAAGAAAAGATTCGATTTATACTATGGAAATCCCAGGTGGCCTGGGCTAGCCATCTAAAAACGAAATTTCACGCAAATTAAAGGTTTTCTCTACGCTTAATCTTAAAATTATTTAAGGCCACTAAAATCTCCAACACATCTTGCTCAATATATAATAGCGCTGACTCTTCACAAAATCATCAGAATTCACGCAACTCCCGCTTCTTTCTCTCTTTCAGCATCGAAGAAAGTTGATTTCTTGGAAGTGGGGTTTATGTATAGATTCATGTACAGTAATATATAGAGAGAAAGAGGGTAATAATGGAAGATCAAGGTGATATAGAGAATGAAGGAGGAGGAGGAGGAATTGGGGTGATGATAATGGAAAATGGCAAAGATTTGGAGAGGAATATTTCAGCGGTTTCTGAGAGCGGTGTTAGACAGCCATTGCTTAGTTCTAAAAGCAGAGTCAATAATACCTCACAAATTGCTATTATAGGAGCCAATGTTTGCCCCATTGAAAGTCTTGATTATGAGTATGGTTCTGCTTTCTTATCTGCTAATTGGTTATTTAGTCCCAGCTTAAATAGTTATGGGGTTGGTTTTTGCCCTCTAATTCTTCAATCTTTCTTGCATGTTGCATCTTTTTTTATTTATTATTTTTCTCAAGTCAAAGATAAGTAGTTGCCTATTTTGTTGAATGCCTGATCATCAAAATCATGGTTTTTTTTTCTATTCAGTTCCCTATCTCTTTTGCTATTTGATTCTCCAAGTTTTTTTTCTTTTTGTTTAACTAGATCAGTGAATCCGGGTTTCATAAAAAAAAAATGGTAGCTTGGATGGCAGAGAAGAAAGAAGGGGAAAATTAAATAAAGGAGAAGAGCTATAGAAAATTAAGAACCTTTATGCCTAAATCATAGTTTGTATTGTTAATTGCAGACCGGAGGGTTTGTTTATAGTTGAAATTTGAGGGTTGAAATTCTTGGTGAAGTGTGGTAATCGATTATGCATAGAGCTTTTGCTTTGAGTTTGCGCTGTCAAACCTTCTGTTTGAAATTCTGTCAAACCTCAGATACTGCATATAATTAACAAGTCGCTGATTCAGAGAAGAAAAATATCAACTTGTAATAGCTTCACCCATTTTAACTAGGAAAACCAAAATGCATAGAGCAGTAGCTTGCTAGGTAGAACATACTTTAACTCAAGTTGTTTGCTTCTGTTATTGGTCAAAGAAGGTACGAAGTATCCGGCATTGATATAAATTACATATACAGTACCGTCGTAAGATCATTGTTCATATTCTAGTCAATGGGTTTTAACTAAATTTTTTATCGTCGGATATATCTAAGTGTTCTCTGATTTTGGCATTGCTAATTCATGTTTGCAGGATTATTGAAAATGACCTTTTCAAGCAAGATTGGAGATCTAGGAAAAAGGTTCAGATATTTCAATATATATTCCTAAAGTGGACACTTGTGCTTCTTATTGGATTGAGTGTAGGGCTTGTTGGTTTCTTCTTAAACATAGCAGTGGAAAATATTGCTGGCTTCAAGCTTCTGCTCATTAGTGACTTAATGCTTCAGGACAAGTATGTTTAACTTATATTCATGATAATAGCTTCTGTGGTAACTTTGAACTGATTTATCCTGAATTTTCGTAATATCAAAACTTGCAACCAACATCGTTCAAGTTATTTTACCAAACTGTGAAAGATGCATTGCAACTTTTGAGTGATGATATCATATGTAAGGTGCCTTAGGAACCTCGGCCATCTATAAACTGCGTAATTGCTTCTGATGCATGACACATTTATCAGTATGCAAACTTCACAACAGAACATTTAAGTTGTCCTGCACACTTTCTTAACTACTTTTAAAAAATTGTTGTGCATTAGGAATATGAGACTGATGAAAGAACGTGCAAAGAAAGCAAAAGTAGTTACCAATTGTAAGCTAGGATATTTACTTTTTGGTCAAACTTTTCTTCTGTCTTGCTTTTCGTTTGAATCTTTAGGTGTTAGCGAGTCTTTTATACTGGTAGTTCAATTTCTTTAAAAAACAATCGCGTCTGGATGGAAACTGGGTTTTGCTTTATTCCAGTTTTGTTATTAAGGTTAAAAAAGTAAAATGAAGTCATGGACTTGATAAGCTAATACAGATATCATGGATACTTTTGCTCATTGTTATTGGGTGGTGAAGTGCGAGCAACTTTTCTAGTTAGTAAGGATAGTGACCGGTTTATTTCCTCTACTTCTTTCAAGTAGCTATAAAGTGATTTTAATTCCACTGCAGGTATTTCCGTGGATTTGCTGCTTATGCGTGTTGCAATTTGGTTCTTGCGACTTGTGCTGGAATCCTATGTGCATTTATTGCACCAGCAGCTGNTGTTTCCATATTTGAGCACCTTGGTGATAGGGCATTCTTATCAAACTGAAGTACGGCTTTTGACCTTACTAGTCACAATTCTGATATCTATGCTAAGTTTCTAGGCATGACAGATGAAAATTTAATGCACATAACTAAATTGGGATGGTTGAATTGGAGGATGCTGCAGAATATTATGCGATAGAAAGATATATATTCTTTAACATGGTAGCAATACGAATAGTGTTATATGAGAGTGAATGATGTGCCGCTAGACTCGAGCATGTCCACAAAATGAGCATGGTAAAAATGCAGATTCTTTTTGATAAAGAGAAATGCTGATGTCAAAAGAAAACCATTGATGGAGCTAAAGGAGATGTGATGGCTGCGCCAGGTTGAGAGGCCAGAGGCTTGTGGTGGTGAGGCTCTGCATTGGAAAATCAGGGCCTCCAAATAATTGTTTTCCATCATTCATAAAAGCATTATATTCTAACACTCTATAAGCAGGCATATTTTTGTATGCTGCACTCCAGTCTATTCTTTGTTGTTTTGCCTAACTACGGCATCATGGAAGCAATAACAGAATGACCTTCTGAAGAGAAAAAGTGATTGATTTACATTACATGACTTTTTTTATATTCATGAAAAGCAAAGCCTGGTATTTAAGTGGAGAAGGGTAGAGGGGCGGGCCCATTATCCACGGAGTTTCGAAGGCTGCGGTTGGTCCAGAGGATCGGCCCCAGATGGATTTCTCGGTCATAAAAAAAAAAAATGACTTTTTTTATATTCATCAGTCAAATTGTTCCTTTGATTTCATAAACCCTCCATGATAGCATTTCATTTTTTTTCTTTTGGTTTCTATGTCTGTTGTATTATGTGAACTATCAAAAATTTAAGGGTGGATGCTTTAATACCTTTGTTGTATATAAGCCAACTGTCATTCCTCTAGCAAACTCAAATGATACTTCTGCTTGTGGTTCTGTGGTTGGGAAGGCTTTAAACGCTGTTGTGCTTTATTTTTGCATTGATTATCTCAGTTGCTGAAAGTCATTCCTGGAAACACAAATTCTTAAACATCCGCAGATATTTGGTTCTGCTTTGGGTGTTTCTGCTGGATTCGTTGTTGGGAAGGAAGGACCCATGGTCCATACTGGCGCTTGCATAGCAAACTTACTTGGACAGGGCGGCTCCCGCAAGTATCATCTGACTTGGAAGTGGCTGAAGTATTTCAAAAATGACCGTGACCGTAGAGATTTGATTACTTGTGGTGCTGCAGCTGGTGTTGCAGCTGCTTTCCGAGCCCCAGTCGGCGGTGTTCTTTTTGCTCTTGAAGAAGTAGCCTCATGGTCCCTCTCCCTCTCTCTCTCTCTCTCTCTCTCTCTCTCTCTCCCCCTACCTACCTCTCTCTCCCTGTGTGTGTGTGTGTGTATTTGATTTCTGAATGAGGTTAAATTGAAGAAAGCTTGGTACTACTAGTTCCGTGTTATACTTAATGGACGATCCAGTAAATTGGTACACTAACTAGGAAGAATTTGTGACGTATCAAATTCTGCTTCAGAGGGGTTTTGCTTGGAATAATGTAAATTTAATGTCTCTCTCTCTACCCACTCGGGAAGAATGGGAGTTACCGTGTCAATAAGCTTTGAACTTAGGATTGCAGGAATTGTTTGCAACTATGGACCCCAAACCCATTCCCAAGGATACTGTCTTTAGATGAACGCGAAACTTAGATTGACGAATGTGTAAGGTGGTAGATGTTATGTGTCCTCAAGAGTGTCAAAAGGTTCAACATCATGTGGTACTGTGGCTCTCATGAACCTTCTAAGGAAAACATTCCTACCAATAATCCATTCGATGATGCTATTGTTCTCAAGTTCAGTTGCTTATTGATTACTAGCTTGTAATTGTTGTAAGAAGGCTTGCAGTCTTAAATATTCAACTTTTCTATTTCCTGTTTTAGGTGGCGAAGTGCTCTTCTTTGGAGGACCTTCTTCTCGACTGCTGTAGTAGCTATGGTGCTCAGATCTTTCATTGTATTCTGTCGGAGCGGGAAATGTGGACTATTTGGTCAAGGAGGTTTGATAATGTTTGATGTGAATTCAGGAGCACCTAATTATAACACTATAGATGTACTGGCAGTGTTGTTAATTGGAGTTCTTGGAGGCCTTCTTGGAAGCCTTTATAATTATCTTGTGGACAAGGTCCTCCGGACTTACAGCATCATTAATGAGTAAGTATCTTAATTCTGCTAAAAGAATATGTTTAGTTACTTCAGCTTCTGTTACTAGTTATTACTACTAAACAACTTATCTTTGTGCATACACGATGTTTTCCTGAAGCATGTCTTGCGCTTCTTTTATATGCTCCCCCCCAACCCCCCCGCTCTTCATGCCATTATTTTTCAGATGGGATTTGGAGTAGATAAACGCAACTGTTATAAAAGCGTAACTTATGACAAATAATCAGATCTCACAAACATTAGTTTGAAAACCTAATTTTAAAGGGATCCTTTGCTATTTCCATCAAAACCTATTTCTCAAAGTTCTTCCTTTCCCAAGTTATTTGATGCTTGTTGAGATATGCTTTATTTATGTCTTACCTCCATATTTTATCTATTTTACCACTGGTTTTATCTACTTTTACTTCTACTATTTGAATTTTCTTGGGTGAATTAGTTTGGGTTTCTCCTGTTTGCTTTTCCTTTCCAATAAGGAATGTAAGAATTTGAATATTCTTTGTGATTGGATTGCAGGAGGGGTCCTGCTTTCAAAGTCTTGCTCGTAATGACCATTTCAATCCTGAGTTCTCTTTGCTCGTATTGTCTACCGTGGTTTGCAACTTGCACACCATGTCCTGTAGGCTTGGAGGACAAGTGCCCTACTATAGGTCGCTCTGGAAACTATAAGAATTTCCAATGTCCAGCTGGGCATTACAATGATCTAGCCTCCCTGTTTATGAATACCAATGACGACGCCATCCGCAATTTGTTTAGCTCAGATAATTCCAGCGAATTCCACCTCTCTTCACTTTTTGTCTTCTTTGCTGGGGTATATTGCCTTGGCGTCGTTACCTATGGAATTGCTATTCCCTCTGGGCTGTTCATTCCCGTCATACTTGCTGGTGCTTCCTATGGACGTTTTGTTGGGACTGTCTTGGGTTCGATATCCAATCTTAATAACGGTCTCTTTGCTCTCCTTGGTGCTGCCTCCTTCCTCGGGGGTACTATGAGGATGACTGTATCCATCTGTGTCATACTACTTGAGCTCACCGATGACCTGCTAATGCTTCCATTGGTGATGCTTGTGCTCCTTGTTTCAAAGACTGTGGCCGACTGTTTTAACAAGGGTGTCTACGACCAGATTGTGAAAATGAAAGGCTTGCCTTATTTGGAAGCACATGCCGAACCATACATGAGGCAATTAGTTGCAGGAGATGTTTGTTCAGGGCCTTTAATTACATTCTCAGGTGTTGAGAAGGTAGGGAACATAATACATGCTTTGAAGTTTACTAGACACAACGGATTTCCCGTGATTGATGCACCGCCATTCTCAGACGCACCAGAGTTCTGTGGACTTGCTCTAAGGTCGCACCTACTTGTTTTGCTCAAAGGAAAGAAATTCACGAAACTAAGTGTATTGAGCGGCTCCAGTATTTTGAGGAGTTTTCATGCGTTTGATTTCGCTAAGCCAGGATCAGGGAAGGGGCCTAAGCTCGAGGATTTGTCCTTCACTGATGAGGAGATGGAAATGTATGTAGATCTCCATCCTGTCACAAATACATCTCCATACACAGTAGTGGAAACCATGTCTCTGGCCAAAGCTGCAATCCTTTTTCGACAACTTGGTCTTAGACACTTGTGTGTTGTACCAAAAAAGACTACCGGGGTAAGTCGTTCTTTTCGCTTCTCATCCCCGGCCCTCCAAGATAATGATATGTACATGTCCATAATAAGTAGGATTAGAATCTAAATAATAAGATAATTTACTTGCTACAACAGGTTAAAATTTGTTAAATCCGAAAAAATGACATACTTCCATAACATAACAAAATTACCATATGATTGTTTTGACATATAGTTTGATATTTCTGATGTTTGTTTCTGCATTCAACTTACACAACACTAGTTCTAAAGATTTAGCTCTTTTAAATTTGCAGAGGGATCCAATCGTTGGAATTTTGACAAGGCATGACTTTATGCCAGAGCATATAAAGGGACTGTACCCACATTTGGTCCATCACAAGTAGCAGAGAGAAACTAGCTCTTCCAACAGGCAATCGGGCAACCATTATTTGGGGAGTGTTATACACACATTCCACATTGAGCTCTGTACACAATCTTCCCAAATTTTCTCATTGACAAAATTGAATTTAGTAGTCTCAATTAGAGCAAAAATTCTCCCTTACTTTGAATTATTGAACTTTCTTGTTTTTGGTGGTTTAACAAATAGTATTGCATAGATGATCTCAATAACACATCAAGTAATACAGTGGTCGGTCTCTGATAATACAACCAATGCCCCAAGAAGATGGACACGGACATTTTTGGAAATTAAGTACGTTATAAACTCTCGTGATTTAAGACAAGATAGCTCTAAAGGAAGAGTCTTCAAGCCGTCACTAGTCGAGGTGTCAACAACCGATGATGTCGAGCACCGTTGACAAAACTGTAACGGCTAGTTTTCAAAATATGATATTAAAGGGAATATTCTAGTGGATATTCTCTTAGAGTACTATTAGGGTTTTGTTAAGAAAATGTTTGATAGAAATAGAAAAGGAGAGAATGGTGGAAGGGGGATATTCATTTTGTAAGAACACACTTTGACAAAAGATTCTCTCACTACAATACAAACAATACCTTTTTCACCAAGATTCTTGTCTATATTATTTCATATTTTCCACCAGATCCGAGGATAATTCGAATATTCAAGGATTTGTTTGTCATTCATCATTACCAGAAGGAGTAACACCTAAATTCTCCTTTATTGGGTGAATCACACCTTTTATTTAATCGAATGCCATTTATTATTGTTTGTTGTTATTTAATGATCTATCATTGTTTACATTGCTTGGAATGATTGTTACACACCATCATTATATCTCTATCGGATCTGTCCAAAATTAGTTACTTTCGGAACTCATATCTAGGAATATTATTGTTAACTAGGTTTAACCCCCTGAATACATAAATTTAATTATTTGAACCAAGGGTTACACTATTTGGTCAAACAATTTGGCACCGTCTGTGGGGATTTCCTAGTTAAATTTTTAGTTTCTTCTAGATATAGCACTAACACGGATCACAAACGTAAAAAATAAATAATAATAAAAAAGAAGCAAGAACGAGAGCTTCTTTCTTTGTGTGCACAAATCCCAACATGATATGTAACAGGGAAGAAAGGGCGAGAATAATCAACGACCTCCCAACCAACCTCATGAACGTTATCAACGAAAGCTACAAAACAGAAGACGAAGGCGCAACGCCCGATGCCTCCCCTAGGCGAGATGGGTCACCGCCTCCTCATTGCAGTATCACAAAGTCTCTTGGTAAATAAGCCTCCACATTTGGGGGAAGAGACGCCCCCAGTTGTAAAAAAGCTCCTCGAAGCATGGCTAACCGACACACTAACCTCAACAAGCCCGCCCGGGACACAGCTGCAGAAAACGCAAGGATTTGCACTGTACAATCGGCGGACGAACAGTGCAACCAACTCCCTCCACCTCCAACAACACGTATTACTCACAACGTCAATGATAATGCAGGTGTTAACGCTCTTGCAACTATTTTGAAAAGGATGGAGGAAATGGAAAACGAGAACAAGATACTCCGAGATCAAATGAAAGAACACCAGAAAAGGGCCGATAAAATACCGGGCACCCCTAAATTGTTGCCAAAGAGAGACGCCGGCCGGTTCATCGAGCATCCGTACAGTGATGACGCAGCCCCACATGCCATACCAAAGACCTTTAAAATGCCGCCCTACCTAAGGATATATGATGGCACGACTGACCCTGAAGATCATGTGACTCACTACGTCACCGTCGTGAAAGGCAATGATCTCGCCAAAGAACAAGTATCTTCCATTCTGTTGAAAAAATTTGGTGAAACTCTCACAGGAGGGGCATTAACATATTATTTACAATTACCTGCGCGTTCCATTGAAACTTTCGAAGAGATGGCCGATAAGTTCGTAACGGCCCATGCTGGGGCCAAGAAGACCGAGGCAAGGGCGAACGACATATTTTCGATTAAGTAGTCTCCAGGAGAGGGATTGAGGGACTTCCTCGCCTGGTTCAACCGAGTAAGGATGACTTTGCCGAACGTGTCATGAGGGATGACGGTCATAACCTTCTAGAATGGGATGAGCAGAGATGGTTCGAGGGTGACTAGAAAGATATTAAGCCGACTGATGAAGTACCCCCCAACAACTTGGAAAGAAATACACGATGCATATTGTGCCGAGGTCCGAGCAGACGAGGACAACCTCAATGGACTAACTCATCGACTGACCTCGGTAGAGGCCGAACCCAGAAAAGATCGAAGAAATGATACCAGAAAAGACCTTGCAGCTCCACGACCTAACAAGGAACGACATCAACCGTACGTCAGAGCTGTCGTCATGCCCCCCTCCCGCCACGAAGAAGGCTCGCCTAGATCAAGGACATGGACTCACCGGAACTAAAGAGGTATGCCCCCTTTATTCTCCGCTCACAACTTTTGTGTGTCTCCTACAAAGATAGTCTATGCCCTGGAGAAGCTCGAACCAAAGATGAAATGGCCACAAAAGATGAGGTCATATCCGAATACCAGGAAGTCGGACACCCTCTGCGAGTTCCACCAAGAACGAGGGCACAAAATCGAGGATTGCATCGCCCTAAGGCAGGAGGTCGCAAACATGTTACGACAAGGACACCTCAAATAGTTGCTGAGCGACCGGGGAAGGACAACCTTTGCCAGAGGACGTGATCAACATCAAGGACCGCCAAAACCGCCCTCACCAACTCGCACCATTCACATGATCATCGGTGGAGGCGGCGATGCTTCCATCAACAACGTGAAGTTCACCACTACCCATAAGCTCAAACGGTCAATCACTCATGAATGGTATGACGAACTCGAAAAGAGTATCATCTTCGATAAGTCGGATACCAACGGTTTGGCTTTCCCTCACTATGATGCTCTTGTTATTACTTTACGTATTTTAGATACCGATGTGAGGCGCATTATGATAGACGATGGGAGCGGCGTGTGCATTATCCATCCTCGAGTACTTGCACAAATGAAACTCAAGGATAAGATAGTACCGCGTTGCATCATGCTAACTGGTTTTAACAATGTAGCCGAGCGAACATCTGGCAAAATCACACTCCACGTTCTAGCTTGTGGCGTCACTCTGGAAACCACGTTCCATATCATGGACCAAAAAACAACATACAATGCCATAATAGAGCGACCATGGATACAAACCATGAGGGCCATCCCTTCTAGATTATATCAGGTCATCAAGTTCCCGACTCCATGGGGAATATTCAGCATACAAGGATAATAAAGCACATCCCGTGAATGCTACCGCATCACCCTAGATAGCACAGCCACTCAACAAATGAAGGACAAAGAAAAAGAGGCATAACAGTCAACAGGGTCGAGGTCGATATGTGACAATAGCGAGGACGTCATCAGAGACCATGATACAGTCAAAGCTGAGGGATCGACCATAGAGGACCTTGACCTCGTTCAATTAGATACCAACGATCACAGCAAGAAAGCTTACATCGGCTACAAGCTTCAGGAACTAGGTAAATTCCGTCAATTCTTAACTACTAACGCAGATTTGTTTGCTTTCAGCCATGCATATATGCCGGGTATCCCAAAAGAAATCACCACGCACAAACTGAACGTCGATCCATTCCACCCCCAGTGAGGCAGGTCAGGCGTAAGTTCAACTCTGCGATTGATAATGCAGTACGTGAAGAGATAGAAAAACTACTGGAAAATGGCTCCATCAGGGAGTCGAAGTACCCCAGTGGGTAGCCAACGTGGTCATGGTGAGAAAGAAGAATGGGAAATGGCGAATGTGCGTGGATTTCACAAATTTGAATAAAGCATGCCCCAATGATTCGTTTCCATTACCCCATATCGACCAACTCATCGACGCAACAGTCGGACATGAATTAGTGAGCTTCTTGGACGCCTATTCAGGCTATAATTAGATCCTTATGGAAGAAGAGGATCAGGAGAAAACCACATTCATAACCCACCAGGGGACGTACTGCCTGAAAAACACAGGGGAAACTTACCAAAGGTTGGTGACTAGGATGTTCAAAGACCAGCACGGCAAAACGATGGAAGTCTATATAGACGACATGCTAGTCAAGTCCAAAAGGAAAGAATATCACATCGACCACCTGAGAGAAATCTTCGACATACTCAGACGATACAGAATGATACTGAACCTCGAAAAGTGTGCGTTTGGCATGTCCTCAGGAATTTTTTTAGGTTTCCTGGTATCACAGAGAGGAATCGAGGTCAATACTGATCAAATCAAATCCATCGAGGGGATACCATAACATTTGACCACCAAAAAACAGGTTCAAAGATTGAATGGTCGTATCGCCGCCCTTTCAAGGTTCATTTCACGATCATCAGATATGTGTCACAGATTCTTCGACGTACTCAAGAAGGATAACGGCCTCCAATGGACTTCTGAATGCGTCCAAGCCCTGAAGGAATTAAAAGCATATTTTTCGTCACCACCATTGCTTTCAAAACCGGAGCCAGGGAAACATATCCTAGTTTACCTCGCTGTATCCGAAGTAGCTGTGAGTGCAGTCCTGTTTCGGGAAAATAAAGGTACGTAGTCTCCCATCTATTACATTAGAAAAACACTAGTCGATGCCGAGATGAGATACCCCCACCTCGAAAAGCTGGCCCTGGCCTTGATCATAGCTTCGCGAAAGCTTAGACCGTATTTCCAATACCGCACCATCTCGATCGTCATGACTTTCCCCCTAAGGAGCATTTTGCATAAACTTGAGCTATCAAGAAGGTTGGTCAAATGGGCCATCGAGCTAAGCGAGCACGATATCACATATCAGTAGCGAATAGCGATAAAGTCACAAGTTCTCACAGACTTCGTCACCGACTTTAGTGCAAAAGTAATGCCCGAAGTTGAAAGAGAAGCCGCCTATGCTTCCCCCCAAACACATGACCTCTGGGTCCTGTACACTGACAGCGCGTTCAACACGTCAGGGGCTGGACTAGGACTCGTACTCGAGGTCCCAACCGGTAAAGTAATTCGCCAGTCCATAAGGTGGACGGATATGACGAACAACGAGGCTGAGTATGAGGCCATAATTACAAATTTGAGGTCGACACTCAAGTACGGGGCAAAACAGTTGAAACTACGTTGCGATTCCAAACTCGTGGTCAACCAAGTCACATGGACTTTCCAAATCAAGGAACATAGGTTACAAAAATATCATACTGAAATTTGCAAGTTGGTGCCCGAGTTTTACGAATGTCAACTCGACCAGATTCCACGAGCACAGAATGCTGAGGCGGATGGCCTCGCAAAACTAGCCGCAGCCACCAAAAACACTGTAATCGGAGACAGAAGTGTGATCCACCTTCTCAACTCGTCACTAGACCATGTCGAGGTAAGAACCGTAAGCTTAACTTGGGACTCGGGCAATCGTATTGTTGCATACTTACAAAATGACATACTCCCAGATGATAAAAAAGAGGCTAAGAAACTAAGAATGCAAGCGGACAGGTATAATGTCATCCACAACGACCTGTATAAGAGAACTTATGGTGGCCCTCTGACGAAATGCTTAGGCCCAAACCAGACGCGACGCGTCCTTGAAGAG